GGTCGAATTTACGGCCATATTTAACGAGAGAAGAAAAAGAGAAAAACGTTCTCCCACGAAAATGTACAATGTCCTGTTCGAGGAAATAGATCTCAGCCCATCCACACTCACAAAATTTCCACAAAAGAATCAGAAAAAAAATAGTTACATTATAATTAGCAATTGTGGTAGAAATAATTTATTAAATAGTAGTAATATAATCTTGGACGATAATAATAACGATAACTTAGGTAGCAATATGAGTAGGGAAAGGAACAGCCATTTCTTTACAATGTAAAGAGGTCTAGATTCGGCTTATTCCTCCCTCTTTGTTCTTACTCCATATTTCTATCCTCCGGATCTACCTTTTGTATTTATAATATTATTATTATCTATCAATAAAGTTATTATTCGATATTTTATGTAAGAAATGTGTAGAATGTACTTAAAAGGGAATTAAGCATTTTTATACAGTACGGAACCTCTATAATAGGAACTTGGTTATAGTAAAAATTGATCAACTTTTTGCCTTAAAACTTTTTTTCCAAATATAGAAATAAAAATTCTAACTGTAAAAAATGGTAGCCCAGAACCTAGGCTTTCAGAATTATCGGTTAAAATTTTAATCTGATTAAAATTGATCAACTTTTACTGAGGTTGAAGTTACATGATTTAATTATATCTATCAAATTTGAGAATATACTAAAAATAGAAAACCATTATTATTTCACCTGAAATTCATCAGAAAAAAAAATTCCGATATTTTGTACCTTTTAAAAATGTAAAAATACCGTTAACAAAGGTTCTAAGAGCAGCAAAAAAATGAAAAATTAAGCGCAACTTTAGTGGCAAATTTGTTTTCAATAAATGTAATAATTCTGTTGAGGAAAGTGATTTTTGTGCATCTTCTGAAGAAAGTGCATATTCTGAAGAAAGTGAATATGATTCAGATGGATATTTGGAGCAGCGACGAAAATGCTTACTTGGATTTGATTTGGTATAGACTAATTCCGCGCAAAAAAAAAAAGACCATATACAGGCAATTCAACTGCAACTTATTATCGTAAATATGGTCCTCATGAAAAATTTACTGTAGCATCAGAGAAGACAAATTCTCTTACAAATTTTTTTAAACCCATTAATTTGAACGATAATGAAGATAAAATTAATGAAACTGTTTCTTTTATTAGAATGGATAGTGAATATAATGAAAGTGATGAAATAAGTGAATGTAATAAAACAAGTGAAATGGGTAGACATATCGGAATGGATAGGGAAACAGGTAGACATGATAGAATTGATAGTGAAACGAGTATATATAACGAAATCGATAGTGGAACGGGTAAAAACAATGAAATGGATGGTGAAACGGATGGTGAAATGGATAGATATGGTGAAATCGGTGAAATTGATGGTGAACTAGGTAGATATGATGAAGTTGATATTGGAACGGATAAAAATAATGAAATGGATTGTGAAACAGGTATATATGGCAAAGTCGATATTGGAACGGATAAAAATAATAAAATGGATGATAAAACAGACGAAATTGACAGTGAAGCGAGTTGATATGGTGAAATCAATAGAACGGATAAAAATAATGAAATGAATGACAAAACAGATGAAATTGATGGTGAAACAGGTAGATATGGTGAAATTAATAGAAAAACAGATAAAAATAATGAAATGGATGGTAAAATGTACGATAAAACAGGTAGATATGGCAAAATCGGTGAAATGGACGAAATTGATGGTGAAATGGATGAAATTAATGATGAAACGGACGAAATTGATGGTGAAACGGGTAGATATGGTGAAATTAATAGAGGAATAGGTAAAAATAATGAAATGGATGGTAAAACAGATGATGAAATGGGTAGATATAGAAAAATCGGTGAAATAGACGAAATTGATGGTGAAATTGATTGTGTAATAGGTAAATTTGATGAAATGGATAGTGAAACGGGCAGATATGACGAAATCGATGGTAAAACATATAGATATGATGAAGTAGATAGTAAAACGGGTAGACAAAAAATAGATGAATTTAGTAATGAGAGTGGTTACGGCGAAACAGATGAATTTAATAATGGGAGTAGTTATAGTAAAACAGATGATAAAATTGGTGAAACAGAATATGGAAAAATAAATGAAATAATAAAAATAAAAAATAATGTAAATGAAAATAAAAATAATGAAAATGAAAACAATAATAATATACCACAAAATATAAGCAAAAAATCAGATTTTTTTGAT